TTTGTTTTTATTTTTCCGCAACCATCTGAGCTGAATGCAATGATTTGCAAGTCTTGGAAAGGCCTGCATGGTTTCGAAACATTACTTTAAACCAGTCACTGCATATAAAAAGCATCATTAATTTGGGCTGAATGGATGAATGGCTGTAACAAACAAAGCAAAATCTCTGATTTTTTTAACAATTTTAGGCTTTCGAGTCAAACATCCCTGTGCCATGTCTGTAGTCTCATAAGTCTTGAAGTGAGCTAATTTGAAGCCAGACCTGATCAGGGAACTGTTCAGTTCTGGTTTTTCTTTTTTTTTTCTTTTTTTTTCATATTTGGCACAAGTTGTTGAGTGAATACTGGTCCATATTTTAGTTTAAAATGGGRTTAACATGTCTTTTCTCTGTCCCCAGAAATCATTCGTAAAGTGAAAAAACCACCCCCAATGTGCCGTCCTACAGTGGCCCCGGATCAGGCTCCCCTTGAATGTATTCAGCTGATGAAGCAGTGCTGGAGCGAGCTGCCTGATCGCAGACCGGCCTTTGAGGAGATCTTTGACCGAGTACATGCACACACACTTTGGTTGCTCTGTTGTCAATCAAATAAACCAATCAAACCTTACTATGTGTCTAATTAAATCCATTTTCTAATTTCTCTTACCAGTTCAAGATAATCAACAAGGGTAAGAAGACCAATATTATTGACTCTATGCTCAGGATGCTGGAGCAGTACAGCTCAAACCTGGAAGATCTGATCCGAGAGAGAACCGAGGAGCTGGAGGTGGAAAAACAGAGAACAGAGAAGTTGCTTTCTGAGATGCTTCCACCGTGAGTCAGTGTAGGGAAACACACCGACGACCACTGGAGCCGCAGGTTACGGTTCAATGCATTTCTTCTTTCTGTTTTTATCCAGTTCTGTTGCTGAGGCCCTAAAGACCGGTGCCACAGTGGAACCAGAGTACTTCGATCAGGTGACGATCTACTTCAGTGACATTGTGGGGTTCACCACCATCTCCTCGCTCAGCGATCCCATCGAAGTGGTGGACCTTCTCAATGACCTCTACACGCTGTTTGATGCTGTTCTCAGTAACCACGATGTCTACAAGGTCAGAAAGACACTAGTTTAAAAAGCAATCASCTCTTCAGGGTGTTTTGCTTGTGAGTCAGGCACACCCACGTGCATGACTGAACCATAATGTTGACTTGGTTCAGGTGGAGACCATTGGTGATGCCTACATGGTGGCGTCTGGCCTTCCTAAAAGGAATGGCAACAAACARGCAGCGGAGATCGCCAACATGTCGCTGAACATCCTCAGCTCGGTGGGTTCCTTCCACATGCGACACATGCCCGAGGTGCCCGTCAGGATACGGATAGGAATCCACTCAGGTGAGTTCACAAGCGTCAGAACCATCCTGTGTTTGTTATCCAACCSTCTGTTTTACATTAATGGAAGAAAGGGTTGGCTTGGCGTTTAAAAAATACAATAAAGTAGATTGTTGGAAAAAAACATTTTAAGTTGTTTTATCAGTATTTTGACAATAGAAGGTGAATTTAAACAAAAACCATCAATAATTGAGCATGTTACTGAGAGTTTAGAGGTTTTTCTGAGCCTTACTGCCAGTGGAATGAAGTGGTTGAATATTCTGAATYTTCTTGATTCAGTGTACTCTGAAGATGTTCCAGATGTTCGTGTTAAACTGTCTAGATGACTTTCATCTTCCTTTTCTCTTAGAAAAAGGATGAAAAMGATCAAGATTAGATGTGTTTGGCTGTTAGCTGTTCTCATCACACATTGCAGACTCTGATACAGCAGATCCTGAATCTAGACAGTCACAGGAAACTTTGCTTTGTTTTGATCCTGTCTTGTTAGTGCCTTTTTTTGTGCTCTTTCTTTCCTTAGTTTGGTGTTGAAGTTGTTAGTTGGTTAGTCTTACCTAAAATACTTTTGTACATCAGCACAAGCACTCAAGGCTCAAGTTAGAGCCATTTTGTGTTGGCTGTGACGGCCACCTTGAACTGTAAGGACCAGAAGTTAATCAGTTGTCCATCCAGTGATTAC